TACTGGTATCTAGATGTCACGGTGTCAAGTCTGCACCGACCGCCGTCGCGACAACGCTAAATGCCGCTGCAATCAACTAACTAAACCCGAGGCAGCTTTGGGCTTATTGCGTTTATGTAGCGTAAGCATCGCCTTTGTGCATATTTTAAAATCACAGAACAAATATTCGTGATAAATGTACCACTTAAGAATGAATAAGCAAATTCTATGCTTTATGTGTCAATCTCTTAACCGTCTTTTAACCGTCCTCAAAACCAAAACCTACTAAAATATGTTATATTTATCATTAGGATTTTTCTCCTTCCTTTAATATAGAGCTTTTAAATAAAAACAAAATAATTTTAGATATAGATTTCAATTTATTAAAATACGTAGTACCAGCATTGCTAATTATATCAGCCTAACATAAGCCCATAATTAGTCGTATTTTTCACTAGTATGTTAATTAAAATGTATGATAATACTTAAATGAAAAATATATTGTATTAATACGTCTAACGACCCACTTACGACACGCACGGAATCAATCTAATTTAGTTAAAGGTGTTAAATCTAATTTAGATCTGATGAACATTTGGTTTCATCACAGCAGCGTCACCTCTCATATAGCAAAAGAAATAGTCAATTTTTTGAAAGAAAAATTCAATGACTTCCGATTTCAAGATTCAAGGATGAGACATGGACTTCAAATGATTTTTTTTAAATAGGTACATCATTTTTTACTGACACAACTCTCACTAATACTGAATAGATGTTAATAAAAAAAAATACTATAATGTCTTAAACAATCATGAGCGTCGCCTACTAAACAAGGGAGACCTTAACCTTGATTTTGGAACCGATTGGCCAAGGGCCGGTAGCATTCCTTATACTGTCCTAACGTGTCAAATCATCCATCCATCCATCCATCAGCCTTTTTCCGTCCACTGCAGGACATAGGCCTCCCCCATAGAACGCCACAATGCGCGGTCCTGCGCTATCCGCATCCAGCGGCTCCCAGCACATTTGACGATGTCGTCAGTCCATCGTGTTGGGGGCCGCCCCACGCTGCGTCGTCCGGTACGTGGTCGCCACTCGAGGACCTTTCTTACCCAACGGTTGTCAGGTCCTCGAGCGATGTGGCCTGCCCATTGCCACTTCAGCGTGCTAACTCTTCGGGCTATGTCGTACACACCGGTCCTTCTACGGATCTCCGTATTCCGGATCTTATCACGTAGGGAAACACCGAGCATAGCCCTCTCCATAGCACGCTGCGCGACTTTGAGTTTTGTCATGAGGCCGACATTCAGAGACCACGTCTCAGTCCCATAAGTCATCACTGGTAACACACACTGGTCATAGACCTTTCTTTTCAGGCACTGGGGAATTTTGGCCGTGAGGATATGCCTAAGCTTCCCGAACGCTGCCCATCCGAGTTGGATTCGTCGGTTGACCTCTTTCTCGAAGTTGGATTTGCCCAACTGGACTGTTTGTCCTAGGTAGACGTAATGATCGACAACTTCGAGAATCGCATTCCCAACAGATACTGGTGCTGGAGTGACATGGACATTGAACATGACCTTGGTTTTATCCATGTTCATCCTTAAACCAACCCGTTGGGAAACTCTGCTGAGGTCATTGAGCATTGTGCCAAGGTCCTCCAGGGATTCTGCCATAACCACGATATCGTCTGCAAATCGAAGGTGAGTGATGTATTCGCCGTTGATGTTGATACCGAGTTCGGTCCAATCCAGAAGCTTGAAGACGTCTTCCAATGCAGCGGTGAACAGTTTCGGGGAAATTACGTCACCCTGTCTGACACCCTTCTGCAATGGAATCGGCCTCGTACTTCTCTCCTGGATTCGGACTGACATAGTGGCGTTTCTATACAAACACTTCAACACTTCGATATATCGATAGTCAATTTGGCACCGCTGGAGGGACTGCAGCACCGCCCAAGTCTCGACCGAATCGAAGGCCTTCTCATAGTCCACATACGCTAGACACAGAGGCCGATTATACTCCTCGGACTTCTGTATGATCTGACGCAGCGTATGTATGTGGTCCATGGTACTAAAGCCCTTTCGGAAACCGGCTTGTTCGGGAGGCTGGAAGTCGTCGAACCTGCGCGAAAGTCGATTTGTAATGACTCTCGAAAACAACTTATAAACGTGGCTCAAGAGCGAGATAGGTCGATAGTTCTTCAAGCGGGTTTTATCGCCTTTCTTGAAGAACAATACCACCACGCTCCTGGTCCACGCCTCTGGAACAATGCCCCCGAGGATGACAGAGTCGAATAGCTTCTGAAGGGCCACGAGGACTGGCTTACCGCCCGCCTTCAGAAGCTCCGTAGTGATTCCGTCATCACCCGGTGCTTTACTGTTTTTAAGCTGCTTGAGAGCCATTCTGATCTCGTACAGGCTGACATCCGGGATGTCCTCGGTATAGTGTCGGGTTAGCTTGGATCGTGGATCTTGGACCAAGCCGACAACAGGAGTTTGGGATGTTTTATACAACTGTCCATAGAACAGCTCGACCTCGCTCAAGATCTCATCTTTGGAAGAAATGACAGTGCCGTTGTCGGTCTTCAGTCTGGTCAACTGAGTCTGCCCAGCAGACAGATCTTTTGCGAACACTTTGGAGCCTTGGTTCCGCTCTATCGCCTCTTTAATACGCTTGGTATTGTAGAGTCGAATATCGCGTCGCACAAACTTCGAGATCTGTCTATTTAACTGCCTCATCTTAGACCAGGAGGCTGGAGACTGCACCGTCATTTCCCTCCTCCACTCCATGAGCTCAAGAGTGTGGTCAGAGAGTTTTCCGGTTCTAGGAGCACGGCGGGTCCTGAAAAATTTTGACCCAACCGTGTGCACAGTTTCCACAAACTTGTTGCTCATATCGTTCGCCGTTTCGCACTCGTCTAGGCATTGGAAGCGATTTTGGAGTTCGAGTCGAAAGCTCTCGGGATTTTCGTACTCGGCAGGTGTGGGACGTAGAGTAGACTTCATCAGTCGGGACCGCTCGGCTTTGACACGAATATTCAATGTGCCTCGTAACATTCGGTGATCGCTTCCGGTTTTCACCCTGTTGATCACTGAGACATCATTAAATATTTGCCGTTTGTCTGACAAGATAAAGTCTATCTCGTTCCGTGTCGAACCATTAGGGCTTATCCAGGTCCATTTCCTTTGTTGCGACTTTTTGAAGAAGGAATTCATCATATAGAGATTTTCTCTCTCCAAAAAATCAGCCAACTTCTGCCCTCTCTGGTTTCTCTGGCCGAATCCGAATTGCCCTACTCTCAACTCACCGCTTTTCCTTTTGCCTAGTTTCGCGTTAAAGTCTCCCATAACCACAGTGAAGTGAGTTTTGAATAAGCGGATGGCTTTCGAGATATCCTCGTAGAGAGTCTCCACCTCATCGTCGGGGTGCGTCGAGGTCGGCGCGTAGACCTGGATGACCTTCAGCGAATACCGTTTGGTTATTCTGAGTATCAGGCACGCTACCCGACTCGACACACTTTCAATCCTCTCTACGTTGGCTGCGAGAGACTTACGAACGATAAACCCGACACCGCCCTGCGACAAGTCGTCGCCTTCCCGGTGATAGAGCAAGTTTCCAGACCGGAGGGTTATCGTGTCCTCCCCCTGTCTTCGGACTTCTGACAACCCTACAATGTCCCACCGAATGACGTGTCAAATATGTCATCATTATTCTAGAAAATGAGGTATATTTTGCAGCAAATCTAACTAAACATTTAAAAATACCAGATATTTTACAGCTTCTAATAAAATAATTAGTCGTAGGAAAAAATATTGGCCGATTCAAAAGAGCTTTCTATAAGTCAATTTATTCAAAGTGTAATTTCATTTCATTTCAAAATCTTTCTTTTTCTAAGGTGGGTTAAAAATATTAATAATTATTCGGTGCCCGCGATTTCGTCTGTGTAGAAATATTGGTTTCCCATACAAACTTTGAGCCACCGTTTTACCTCTTTAGGGGGTAAGTTTTGAAAAAATATTTCCTAGCGTACGCCAACATCATAATAGTTCTAGGTGTGCCAAATTTCAGCGCAATCCGTTCAGTGGTTTGAGCTGTGCGTTGATAGATCAGTCAATAACGTTATAAATATATTAATTGGCAAATATTACAAATAAATACCAAATTAAGCTTAATTAGTTCATAGTGATCGTGTTTATAACAATACAAAGGAAAAAATCTGCAATCCTCAAACACCATAATCAATGTAAGGCTAATACAAAATAGGACCCCACATAAAGCTTACTTTATAAATAAATATTTCCAACACTCACACCAATTAGCCTAGCCCCAAAGTAAGCACTATAAGGCTTCTGGTATATTATGATGCTAGGGTAACGGATAGAATACATATACTGTACATATATAAGTATATTTATATAGAAATACATATTAAACATCCATGACTGGAGTACAAATGCTCGTATTCATCACACAAACATCTGCCCCCACCGGGATTCGAGCCCGGGACCTCTCGAGTCGGCGACACATAAAAACCCGGCGTACAAACCACTCGGCCACGGAGGTCGTCAATTTATCTATATTTGTAGCATAATGAAACTTCTTAGCATTTTGAAATAATTCAAACACTCATGTAATAAATGAAACATCAAAGTCGATCGTTACATAATTTTACTGCATGTTACCTGTATAAAAAAACAAGCCAGCGCTCAATATAGATGATGGACGGGGTAAACGAAATTCGATTAAGTCCATATCAGTTATATTATTTAATAAATGGACAATATTTTTTTCTTTTGTCAATTAACCAAAAAAATTACAAAGATAAAGTGCGTCAAAGGCTAGTGACGCCACTTCTAAGTTTTTACTTAGAACGTAACGAAAGGCATCTTTTCAAATCAATATATCCCTGTAATATTCTGTTGATTATGTGAAAAGAAAAAATAGCTTTCAATAATAATCTACCTGATAGACGGGGAAAATTGTAAAATTGTTAGTCATCATCCCTATTGTTTTGTTAGGCATACGGGATGGCACACCTGGATACGAGACGCGAGAGCCTGATGGTCGCCCCAGGGCTGCAGTCAGGGCCACATGACGCACCTCGCCCGCGAGTGAAAGGGTGCGTCCCCGCTACCACTATAAAAGCTCCAAGCACTGCTCTTCGGGCATCAGTCCATCAACTCACATACACAATGGCATTTAAGGTATTTGAATATTCATTGACGAAATATCATGCGTGCTAGTGTTATTATAAATAGATAAAAGAAGCGATTTAAAAAAAAAGTGTAATTAATCCCGTGTTCAGTCAGTTTTAAAATCAAAGTTTTTGTGGCATAAGGAAAAAGATAACGAGAACGAATCCTGCATCTATTCACCAGAGATTATATTTTTTCTTAGAACTTTTTCTACAAACAGTAGTATGTTTTCAGTGGCTCATCTTAGAAACACAAATAAATAATTATAAAACGACAAGTCTTTAAGCTTTGCAGATAAAAAAATGGGTTCTTCACTAAGTAGCCGGTTTCTCAACATTTAAGAAATGTATCTTATGTAAACATTTTTGTGTTACAGTTTGTGATCCTCGCTTGCTTGGTGGCTGCCGCCAGCGCCGGCGTAGTCCCCGTAGGCCATGCAGCGTACGCGGCCGCACCCGTCGCCTACGCCAGCCCTGTGGCCTACGCCGCCCCCGTTGCCAAAGCCGTCGCCGTCGAAGAATACGATGCGCACCCACAATACAGCTTCGCGTATGACGTGCAAGACGGCCTAACTGGTGACTCCAAGAGCCAGCACGAATCTCGCGACGGCGACGTTGTCCAGGGCTCGTACTCCGTGGTCGACCCTGATGGCACCAAGCGCACTGTTGACTACACTGCTGACCCCCACAACGGTTTCAACGCTGTTGTGCGCAAGGAGGCTCTTGCCGTGAAAGTCGCCGCCCCTGTGTCTTACGCCGCCCCCGTCGCTAAGTACGCTGCCGCCCCCGTTGCCTACGCCGCCCCTGTCGCCAAGATCGCAGCCCCTGTCGCCTACGCAGCCAGCCCCGTTGTGCACGCAGCTCCCGTAGCCAAGTTCGCTGCACCCTTATCCTACTCCGCGCCAGTCTACCAACCCGCACCAGCAGTATACCACTCTGCCCCTGTCTACCACCACTAAATTGATGCCAAATGTAGTGTAGTTGTTACACAAATCTGTAGAATACATTTATTTGTTGACATTTTTGTGTGAAAATCGTGTTGATTAGATATGTACGTAAAATGAATTAAATTATATTTTTATACGCCTACTTCATTGCTTTCTATTAAAAACCCTTTAACATTACTTAACTTTTTATATCTATTCTTAAATTGGAAATACTGTTATGTTCTGTTAATGCTTATGTGAGTTTTTTCAAGGGTTCTACTCGTGTTTAATATCAGGCAGGATGCTTTAACTGAACTCTTTAGTCAGTTGCTCTTGAACTTTTAGCCGTCACAGAACAGTTTCAGAACTTCAAAAGCTTAGAATATCTTAGATCATATTTATAAATCAAGCAAAGTTTAAAATATAATATTTTAGTATATATTAATGTTGCTTTATAATACCTAGGCACTGCTATAAATGTCCGCAGGGTCAAAGTGCTATTGCAAGGGTCCCCCTTGAAACACACGTTACGAACGGACCCCTGAAGGGTTCTACACTAATGCGGTCTTCTATATAAGGGTCATAAGCATTAAGATTTAATAATTCTTCGCTTTACTATAAAAAAACACAATTTGAATGCGCAAACCAATAAATTTCCTCTGATTTCATTATAAAAATTCTCTATAACATAGCCCAAGCTATTCACGACACGGACGACGGTTGGCGTAGTTTTATTTCTGGGTTCGAATGCTGTAAGTATTAAATTGTGACTTACATTTACTAGAATTCATAAGTACTAGCTCTAGATACCGTTTTATTCAATCAATATTTGTTAAAAAGTTACTACTACGTATAATAAAAATTTCAAAAGACTAACATACAACCAGGGTCGTATTTACCCTAGCGCTAAGAGGGCCACAGCCCAGGGCGGCAGGGCTGCAAGGGGCGGTTGCAAGAGCTGCATGGGGCTGCAGCAGCCATAAAGGCATTCATTTCTGACCTCTGATTTGATTTACTAATTATAGGAGGGAGGGAAGGGTAGATTTTAAAATACGCCCCTGCTTACAACACAGTAAACATGTAAAAACAATTGAAAAATTTACCTCGCTAATAGGTAAATATACTTAAGGCAAAACGTTTACAACATAGACAAGCTCATATGAAGATGAATCTTATGCTTGCTATTTACTGGATGCAATTAGATGCCCTTACCGTAAGGTCTAGACGTGGTTGAACTACACTGGATAACCGCCAGTCGACCTTGGTATTTCCATAGTTCCCACGACGACGAACAGGCCTCGTCGCCGCGCGGCCGTAGGCTAAGTTACGCAACTCGCAGTTAATTTAGGCCGTATTTACCTACGCACACCCTCATACACCATCCATACTAATATTATAAATGCGAAAGTGTGTCTGCTATTCCCTCTTCACGCTTAAACCGTTAAACCAAATTTGATGAAATTCGGTATTTAATATAGTTCCTTGGCTTAGGAAAGGACATAGGATAGTGTTTATATTTAAAGGTGGAAGTTTGTATGGGAAGTAAATTGATCGTTGCAGCCAATGTCGCGAGCACCCACTAGTTAACTTTAAAACACGAAGAATCTATTTTATTCATTTGTGCATTTTAAACTATTTTACTCAAATTTATAAGCGCCTTCCAAAAACGAGGGTGGTTCTCATTTCGTCTAGATCTTTTTTATGTATGTTTTTCTACTACTCGAAAACGGTTGGATCAATTTGAAAAAAACTTATTTGTGTGAATAATTGTTCTTCCTAGTTGGTCCCACTGTCATTAGATCAGGGTCTGACAATGGGAACCTGGAGAAATCAAGGGAACTCTTCAATAGTAAAGGCACATGTAATGAATTTAGATAATTTTGAGAGTATCTCGTCCATTTACTCTCTGGAAGCGCCATCTGGTAAAGACGAACTAATGACGAAAATCACAGAATTCACAGATGACCACCGGAAGTAATCAATAATAAGCAGGTAGAGTTGCGTTAAGATAACTTAGAGGAGATTGCTCAGCTTCCATACATGTTTGGCCGAAAGACCAGTAATCATGAAATATTTTTTCCTAGATTCGAAATTATATATAAATTACTGTAGAAACGTATATTATTGACGGACACCACTGAGAACTTCTATAAACCACTGAATGATTTTGAGATTATGTTTGCAAATAGGTACATAGGTATTAAAATAATAAAAAACAAATAAGCTATATAGCAAACTAGGGAAATATAATACCAAGTACCGAAATTATGTATTAGATTCAGGTATATAAAGCATGTACTTTAATAGATTGCCTGTTTTTAAAGTTAATGCATAAGAGTAACTTTTAAAATCAGGTATCATCTATGCATTTCCGGTTATATTAAGGTACTCTGTGACAGAATCTGTGTGTTATTTGTGAATGAGCCACAGATTAGAGAGAATTTTTAAACTCTGGTTAGCTAAAGAAAGCTTATTATTTTTGTTATGTTTATATTATAGATTTTTAGTGTATCACACCTTATAATGTGTTTATGGAGGTGTTTGGTGAAAAATGTATGGCAATAGTCAGTTATGATGTCGCTTACCATCTATAATATTTGTCCTAGCACATTTCCATGTAGTAAAAATGATAATAATATACTTGTGGATATTAATACCACAGTGTAACAAAAAAATGTTTTAATTTATCGATCTTTACTTACGGTAACGGTACGGTAATTACGGTACATTTGGGCCAATGTGAGCAATCTCCTTTGTTTGCCAAGCTACATAAATTTACGTTTGTCGCGATGCATATTATATTTTTTTGTTGTGGGAGATAATAATAAATATACCAAAAAGTCCGTTATTTTGATTTTTCACAGATATTTTAAGGTTATTTGAATAAAGGATAAATACAAAAGATCTTTTTATTGCCTATAATTTTGCTTCGTAGTTTTCTCGATAATCGCTATATACAGTTTCCCCCTTAATAGATCACCCAAGAATGAGACCTAAGTTCAATATTATGAAAGAATAAAATAATAAACTCATGGCTTTAGAACTTGCCATGACTTTAACATAATTCGTATATGAGAACTAGCCAATTCAAACCTTAGGCTTCATTATATAATCCTCTAAAGTCCTAAGAAAATATGATATTTTAAGTTGTTAAAATGTATTTTTTTTTATTAATAAATTTTAGGACCGACCCATGAACTTGGTACCCATTTAGTTTAGATCTCACTTCTTTTGTCGTTAAAGTCAACAAACCAAGACATATAATACATAACATTGAACTTGGCTCTTATTTCAAATTCGTGTTTGATGGGATACCCTAATAACCGCAGATATTTTGTTTAATTGTGGTATGGAGAACTCCGACAAGAACATAGGCTGGTTTTTATCGCTAAAATAAAGGTCCTTAACCCCGGGCACAGATATATCCAGCCCAAAGGAAGATACTCCCCTTTTCACCAAATATTGACCTGCCTTCCTCAATACCACAAAAACTTAGACAATAGACTCATTTTCGAATTCACTTAGAACATGATTCAATATCATAAGTAGTTGTTGACGACTGTTCATCTGATCTGATCAATGCTGTGTTAGGGTGCGGCCAGAGTGCACTCAGATTCAGATTCAGATTCTGAAAACAAGCGCGAGAAATAAACAGTGTAGTCGAAGGGTACGGCCAGAGTGCACTCCTGATTCAGATTCAGATTCAGACTCAGAAAACAAAGCGCGAGAAAAAGCAGGCAACCTGCTTAGACTACACTGTTTATTTCTCGCGCTTGTTTTCAGATTCAGACTCAGAAAACAAGCGCGAGATATAAACAGTGTAGTTAAAGCAGGGTGGCCATAGTGGCAGCAGGCAACCTGCTTAAACTACACTGTATATTTCTCGCGCTTGTTTTCTGAGTCTGAATCTGAATCTGAGTGCACTCTGGCCGTACCCTTACCTCAAGGATCCGCACTCACTCACCGCAAAGTGATTTGCCGTACATCATCGAACTGCTTCAGCCGGGTTCTTGTGTTTAGCACTTTAGCAGACTATGATACCACACGACACTTAGTCGCAAGTAAATAATAGGTTGGGGAAAAAGTCCTTTCGAATTATAGTATGTATGAACCTGTAGTATGAAAAATCTCTTTGGCTATACCATTTGTATCTGGCTGGTTTTGGTATCATTAAAAAGTTTAAATTTTAAAGAAGATAATTCCAAATTGAAATTAGAGAAATGTGTGATTTTCATTGTTTTTCTTACTATCAAGATGAGTGAATCTAACGAAGAAATTCCATACATTTTATTATTTTACTACAAATAAGGTAAAAATGCAACGCATGCCGGGAAAAAAATTGTGATGTTTATGGACCTAGTGCAGTGTCTGTGAGAGTAGCACAAATTCGGTTTAAGCGTTTTCAATCCGGAAATTTTGATGTAAAAGATGCACATTGCTCTAATCACCCTGTTACGGATGGATTATATTTTTGAAAAAGTGGAGCAAGATCGACATTGCAGTAGTTATGACGTAGCTGAAGAACTGGAAATTGTCCACAAAACAGTTCTGTCGCATTTGAATAAAGCTGGGTACACAAAAAAGCTAGATATTTGAGTGAATCACGAGCTCACTGAAAGAAACCTTATGAATCGTATACTCATTTGTGATTCTTTATTACGACGGACGTAATGAAACCGAACCATTTTTGAAGATGCTGATAACTGGTGATTAAAAGTGGATCACGTACGACAAGAATGTGCGAAAAAGGTGGTGGTCAAAGGCCGGTCAGGCTTCACAGACTCTGGCGCAACCCGGGTTTACTCGCAACAAGGTGCTGCTGTGTATATGGTGGGATTGGAAGGGCATTATTCATTATGAGCTGTTACGGGCAGGCAGGACCATCGATTCTGAACTCTACTGCGAACAACTGATGAGATTAAAGCAAGAAGTTGGGAGAAAACGGCCGGAATTAATCAACAGAAGGGGTGTGGTTTGTCATCATGATAACGCTAGACCTCACATATAAAGATGTGTGAGTTTGACTGGGAGGTGTTAATGCATCCGCCATATAGACAAGACCTTGCACGTTCAGATTTCCAAGAAAAGAAAAAAGAAAAGCCTAAGCGGGGATTATGGGATTTACTCGAATTTCTACATTGATGCTAATAAACTAAGATGGGT